GATGGACAACAGGGTCCCTGGGGGTGGGGGAGGGCAGGGCTGGACACCAGGCTCAGGCACCTGTCCTCATAGCAGGAAGTGACTTGCACAGGGCACAAGGCAGGCTGCCTGTGTCACAGGGCAAGCCTCTCATTGAAAAATCACAGTGGCTCATGGTTTCCAGTGCCCCCCCATGAGCCACATCCTGTGAGTTGGCCCTTGCTGTGTTCCTAGACACCTGGGTACCTGCTACTGCCAGTGTCATCCTGGCGGGAGGAAGAAATGGACTCAGCACTGTTCCAGAGCTAAGCCAGGCCACCGAGCTGTGCCAGGAGGAGACGGTAACTCATGAACCTGGCAGGAATGAGCCAAACTGTGCAGATGAAGTCCTGGGACCTGAGGATGGGTCGCTCCCATCTCATCCTAGGGACGGGGTCACTCTGTGTCCTCACCTTCACATGCAGACATAGAACTTACTGCATTAGTTAGTGGCTCTCACATTTCTGTTGTCATCATCACAAAATTGAATCTCCTAAGAACACTAGTCTACAAAATGCAATACAGGTGGGCAGCTCAGTGGTGCCCTAACCCCCGAGGGAACTAAGAAGCTCAGTCAGAAATAAAATAGAAAATCTGAATAGTTTTAAATCATTCTTATAACATAGAATCTGAAATTTAAAACCCCACCAAGTAATTCCAGCCCCCAGTACCTTTGGTGACAAATTTCATCCAACATTTAAGGGAGAAATTCTATCAATTCTACCCAAATATACAAGTCAAATCATCTTGAAGATTTGACTTGTATATTTGGGTAGAATTGACAGGCTGTCTCTAAAAGCTCTATGGAAATGAGAAGGACCTAGAACACAGAAGTAATTTGGAGAACGTTGAGGTAGACACAGATTTTACAGGTAAGACACTAAAAGCACTAACCATCAAGGTATAAAATGACAAGTTTAGAATTCATAAAAATTCATAAGTTAGATTCATCTCTTTATTCTTCAAATGAAAAGCAAGCCACAAATTGAGGTTTTTCTCTTTCTGTGTGTGTATGCAAAAATGCATGTGGACACACAAACATACCCCTGACTAGAACAGAGAAGTCTAGACAGACTGTATCAAGAATTCCTATTCCTCAATAATAAGAATTCAAATCACATACTTAAAAATGGTAAGGGGCAGAGGCTGTATCTCAGTGGCACAGAACACACTTAGTGACAATTTCAGGCCCTGGGTTCAACACAGTACACACACACACACACACACACACACACACACACCCTCAGGTAAGTATGAATAGGAATAGCCCATTCAAAAATGTTAGTAAATGCAAGTTAGAAGCCCAAGGCGACCCCACTAGTGACCATGAGGATGCCAGAGCCACCAAGTACTGGGGAAGGTGGGGCCCAGAAGGGCTGCTTTGCTTTGGACCAGTGCAACCACCCAAATGACTGTTTGGCAGCTTCAGGTGGACAGGTGGCATTCCAGAGGATTTAGCCATTATCCTTTGACCCCTATGACTCAAGGGAAACGAAGTGCCCACACAGACTCGTCAGCAGACACTCACGCAGCATCATGGGTAATAGCCTGAGTTGGAAGCAGCCCACACGTCCACATGGACACAACGCCATGGGTTCCCACTACACAGAGGGTACCAGCTACCCTCAAGGGAGTGGATAGACACATCACTGTGGTCCACATTGTCACAGCCCACACTGTGATAGGAGCCAAACCCACAAAGCACACACTGTGCTTCTATGCCAGACTAGCCCACAGCTGCAGCAAGCAGATCTCTGTGCCTGCTGGGGACAATAGAAGGACAGAAGGAGGGCTCTGTGACAGAGATATTCCACATGTTTTGGCACATGTTTTGTGGCCAAAACACCATGTATGTCCTGCTGGCACAGGGTGCTGGGCCCACCTTCCTGGGGGGTGGCAGCCTCCCCAAGTGGAGCCTCAGTCTCCTCACTGCCACCTGAGCCCAGCTCCAGGCTCTTGCCTGTGGAAGGAAGGGACACTCTGGTGGTAAAAAAGTGGACCTTCCCCTTTGGCTGCAAATAAAACTCTGAGCGTCTTCCAGAGTGGTTCAAAGTGAAAGAGGAAGGAGAGGGCTTCCTCCACTTGGGCTTCCTTTGTGGTTTTTAGTCCTTTGGGTTTTTTACAAAAATCATAGTCAAATACATGAAATAATGCTAATAAGGAGACTGAGACTGAACTGGGCCCTGAAGACCAAGCGTGACCTGGGCACCCCTTCACCTCTCCTCTGCCCCCTGTTCTCCCCACACAGATGCCCACATGCCAGCCCTGCTAGTTTCTGTTCCCTCTCCCAGCACCCAGGACAGCCAAGAGCAAAGAGCATGACCTTGAGCCTGCACAGAGGCCTTCAAATAAACCCCCACCACACACCACCCATGACCTGTGGTGTGCATAAGATGTCCTGAGATTGAGGTTGTGTCCCACAAGATAGCCTGAGACTGTGGTCGTATCCCCACAAGGCTGAGCCCTGAGCCCCTGCTCATGTTCTGGGAGAAAAACTAACATGTCAGCACGTTGCTCTGCCCCAGCAAGCCAGTTTCCTCTGAGTGAAATTTAGATCCTGTTCCCAGTGCCCTGCCTGTAGTCCTCTCACTCCTGCATGGCTCCCTATGGACCCATGTGGTCCCCACCCTGGTGACAGTGCACTGGTCCTTCCTAAAGCTGATCGAGAGGCAGGGATGCACCTCTCCATACCCCGTCCTGTCCTCTGTGAGAGACAGCATTCTGGCAGGTACTCTGTCCCACCTTTGTTGAGTGTGGCAACCAGGAACACCATGGTCTTCACGAATGCTCACTAGGCACCAGACACTGGGCTGTTTCAAAGGACTCTCAGAAGGGGGCACAATGGTTGTGTAATTTATTTCAAAAGCAAGACACTGGGTTAGACATGGTGGTGGATACCCATAATACTGACACTGGGAGGCTGAGGCAGGATTCCAAGTGCAAGCCTAGATTGGGCTACATAGTGAGACCCTGTCTTAAAAAGGAAGATAAAAAAACTGTAAGGTGCAGGCCAGATGAGTACAGGACTGGGAAGTTGCAGAGCTGGGACACAGATTTAGGTGTGACAGCAAAGGCCATCATGTCTTTGCTTGGTCGCCATGGTACTCCTTGGGCTGGGCCAGCCAGGCCTGGCTTGGCTCAGATGAGTGAGGACACATGCAGGCGCTTGCCCAGCAGCTGTTGCCACCTCAGGCTATACCTGGTCCCTTGCCAGAAGGATCAGGAGGAAATCTCAGAAGCCCTGGAGCGCCCTACCTCTCAGAAGTTCAGCCATGCAAGCCCGGGGTGTGCCGGTCCCCAACAGGAGCCAACACATCCCCACATAAACATCTGGGGAAGTTTTGGCAGTACAGATCTGGGTGCAGCTGGGGAGGGACCCTTGGGCAGGCATGGAACCCGCATACCAGAAGACCTCACCCACCCACAGCTGGGCCACACCAGCCCCTCACTGGAGGGACTGGAAAGGAAAGAAGCTCTGAGGAGCCCAGAGCAGACTCTTGAGTCCCACCAAGCTTCTGCGAGGCTTCCTCCAAGGCTGGGCTCTGGTGGCCACACTGAGAACACTAAGCACCCCACAGCCTCATCCTTATCACACACATCACAACTCATTGGCAGCTGAGACACAATGACATCCAGTATTGTTCAGCATGACACTTAGGAGAGACAAAGTCAAAATTTTACAAGAGACCTTGCTAGTTTCCAACACTGTTCCCAAAGGACATACAGCCATCCTGATGGGAGGCTGATGCCAGGCAGTGAAACGGACACCCTTAGTAGGGCACGTGGAGGCACAACTGCAGCTCCGCTTTGGGGTTGGCTGAGCCTTCTTGGCCATGTGTGAAGTCTGGTCTTTCTATCCAAAACAGGGGCTTGCAAGTGATTGAGCCAGGCTCAGCCACAGACACACTCAGGCTGTAATTCTGATCCTACATGGGCCACCCTCAGGGGCTGGGTCACCCCAGGATGCTCTATTCCATGTGCATCAGTCCCATGACCCTGGTCACATACTGTGTATTGCTAAAGCAATATTAGCAGAGCTTTGTGGCTCGTGGTAGTTTGTCTTCACCTTCACATAGTTGTGTAGTCACAGTCTCCTCCTCACAAAACTTCCCTCATCCCAGACTGAAACTGACCCCACTAAACATTGCCTTCCCCGGCCCAACACCCGCCGTCTGTCTCTGGGAATGTGACTGCTTCAAGTTCCTCGAGTGGGATTGTATCTGTCGTGTCATGCCTGGCTTACTTCACTGAGCAGTGTCCTCTAGGTACATTCAGAATGGAACGGTCAGCTTCCTTCATGGGGAAGTAGCATGCACTGTCTACCCATAGGTCCATCAGTGGGGGCCTGGGTCACCTCCACCCTTTGACAACTGTGAATTATGCAGCCACAAACATAGTGCCAATCTCTTTGAGACCCTGCTTTCAGTGATTGGGGTTCAGACCCAGCAGCAGAATTGCGGCATCACATGGCATTTCTAGGATCTATTTCCTAAGGACCTGCACACTGCTTCCTGCGGCTCACACAGGGCTGCTCAGGTAATAGGCACCTACTGGGTGTACAGCTGAATTTTTTAAATACCAATAGGAACTAAACATCAAGAGGGCATGTCTTCCCAATAGCTAGAAGGTATAAACATTCAGAGACCCAGGAAAAAGGTCTGCTAAGATTCTTCCAAATCTTAGATTTTGCTATGGATTCAGGGAACGTCAATGGAAGGAACAGGGCAAACAGGGCCAACGGCATTGGAGGGAATAGCCAACTCCACACAGAGGGGGCATCAGGGTCACCAGCAATGTGCCAGGCTCCCCAGGGCTGGGGAGGGGTCTGCAGCAGCCAGGAGTGACTGGTTCATGTGGTGAAGCCAGCACAGTGCTGTCTCTGCCTCTTGACCGGAAATCTCAGTGAAGGGGAGGCTGTGGCCTCAAGAAGTGGTTCAAAGGATGGTGTTTCCAGACAGATGAATCTAGGGAAAATGGACAAGTCTTTTCCCCAAGTATTTTATTTAAATATTAAATTAAAAAAACATACACCAGCTAATCATTTGGCATACATCTCTCACGTTAACATTTGAAACAAAACAATGCAGTTATGGTAAAAAAAAAAAAAAAAAAAAAGGCTATATATACATCTCAACCAGATCACATAGTGTCTTTAAATAGGCTATTGCAGGAGTCTGCAGAATAGCATTGTTGAGAAATCTATGAAACACCGCACACGTCTAAAAAAACAAATAAAAACACGGCTTTCCCATCCTCCCAAAGAGGTCTACAGTGCTAAGAAAAAATAAAACTGCTAGGAAAGTAAAGTGCTTGTCGCTGCTTCAGGGAGAAACACAGGGTGGCGTGAGGCCTTTGATCTGTGGTGAAAGGATGGGGAGGGGGCAGGGGCCCGCTGAGGTCTCCTGGGCCAGAGCAGGTCAGGCCAGCTGCCTCCTGCAGGTGAAGGCAGGTGGCAGCGAGGGATGTCTGGAAGTGGCAAATGGGGGACTTTGGTGTTTCCTCTGCGGCTGGGTATCAGGTCCATCCCCTGGAGGACGGTCCAGCACCCGTCCCTAAGCAACCACAGAGCAGCACAGGACAGAGCACAGAGCACATGCACAGAAGGGAGGGACCCACCACAACACTGACACTCGTGGGCCTCCTTCCTGCCCTCAGGGAACTCAGTCAATCTTTGGCTTTTAAGAAGTCCCACCTTTGCCCCCTTCTCCGTGGCCCCCGGGTAATACTGCAGGTTGCAAGAGCCATGGGAAGCAAAGGCACCTGGGCGAGGAGGGGGTGGGCACTTGGCACACAGTAGCTGGGGTGCAGTGGTGGCCTCTGTCCCACTGAGGTGCGGCCGCCCTGCCCTGCGTCCCTGCCAGTGTTGAGGGGTAGCTGGGCCTCATCCTTAGCAAGCCTGGTGCTGCTGGGACAGCCCCCCAGGGTGACCAAGGGAGGTTTAAACAAGGAACACAAAAGTGTAGTACAAAATATAAAAAATAAGTAGTGTCTATGATCTCCTATTTATATACATATACAGTATCTGCTTAAAAAAGACACAGCTTTACAAACACTGACCTAAGCTTCCCATCACATCTTGCTTGAATGAAAGCCAGACGCCCAGAGTGTGGGCCTGGGTGCCAGGCCTGCCACTGGGAAGTCCTGGGTGGTGGTCACAGTGAGGAGCCGTTGTTTCCATGCTGCCTACTGTCACGGCCCGCAGCACCGCACCACCCCCAGGTCAGGTGTTCTTGTTTGTTGGACCCTGATAATGAAATGCATAAAAACTCAGTAATTAGCAGCGAAAACGAGATGAGCAGCAGGAAGAAAGCTCTTGGCTTCCTCTCAGCCAAGTGCCCCTTGGACCGAGCCCCAGCCCCGGCTCCTGGCCCCTGGTCCTTTCTGTGGTTCCTCCGAACAGTGCTGGCAAAGACTCCTGAGCCACACACGTAGCACCCTGCCTCAAGTGAGACGAGCCTTCCCTCTGTGCCGGCGTCCCATGTCCCCTTCCTGGGAAGCCCCTGGATGGTGCCAACCCGCATGAAGCAGCAAGTTCACAGTTTCTGTTGAAGCATAAATGTTTCCCGAAGTGGACAACTATTAACTAAAACCAAAAGGACACCGACCCACGCACGCACACTTGGCCACTTGGGACATTTCCAGGGATGTCCAACACTGTCAGCTCATGACACAGCTGTGGACAAAGGGCTCAAGCCCCTGCCCTGTCACCCCCCTTTGCAGCCGGAGGCCCTCCCTCATCCCACTCCCCCCGCCACCCACCTGCACGAGAAACCCGCCATTACTTCTCTTCAGATCCAGTCCCTACTCGGAGTTGAGGTCATTCAGTGCAAGAAAAAAAGTAACACAAAAAATTGAAAAGCCCATACACCTAACGTATTGCTTGTTTCGCTTCTAAAAAGTTCTTGGCTTCTGAGTCCAAAAACATCTTCACATACTCCAAAATTATTGCTTGGAAGAGCCAGCCGGGCAGGGTGGGACTGTCCTCACTGCACCAGGACGAATGTGCCCCTTGGGCCAGCGGTCAGGTCCTCCATCTCGCAGTCCCCTGGCAGCCGCCCAGTGGGGTCACAGCCTGGGGCCAGCCTGGTGAAGCACGGCACCAGAGCCCCACTGGGGAGGCTAGCAGGGCTGGTGCTGATATGCAGGTGGGTGTCCAGGAGCTGCGCGGCCGACGTCACAGGCGATGCACTGGTCTGCAGGAAAGGTGCTGGCAGCAGTGGGAGCCCTGACATGAGGAGGCTATCGCAGGGGGCCAGCACATATGGGGTGGGAGCAGGGGGCGGCTGTGGGGCCTGGGGACAGCTGGGAGTGGCATCCGGGTGGTGCTGTAACTGGAGCAGCCTGTGGACAGACAGACAGGACCCAGGTCAGTTCTGCCCATGCATTGGTGAGTGGCAACCCCTAAGCTACTTTGTTGATGCTCCAGTGACAGCTCATAGACAACCAGACAAGTTTGCCACCACCCTCCTCCCACTCTGGCTCCAAAGGACCAGTACATCCACAGCGATCACACCCTGAGGCCCCAGAACTCATGCAGGGCAGAGGGGACACTTGGGACCTACCTCTGCTGGTGCAGTACCTCTTCCAGCAGGCTTCTACCCTCTCGGCTGCCAGAGCTGCTGCCCTGCAGGCCCGGGCTTGGGGCAGGGGCGTGGAAGGCTTTCAGGCCACCCCGGGGCACTCGGCTAGAAGATGCCTGGCACATCTGGCGTGCCAATCCCTTGATCTTGTTTAACCCCAAGAAGCCTTTGGTCCTTGCATTTTTTCTCAGCTGCTGCCGGAAGGCCTTTAGCCCTGCAATGCAAGATCAGGTTCAAAGGGGTCAGGGTAGGGATAATAGGACCAGCCATATGTGCGGGACTGGCATTCATATGGCCATCCTTCTTTCCTTAAAGAGTGGGCAGCACTCTTATCACTGAAGCCCTTCTAATACTTCCCATCCTTGGGCCCTAGTTACCTTTTGAGGTTGAGGACAAAGAGCCCAACCCTAGCAGCTACTGTTGAGATAGGCTCCTTATGGAAGAAGGAATGAACCATGCACAGGACTCTGCACAAATGCAGAGGGCACACGGGTATCCCAAGCTCTGGGGAGGCACAGAGGGAGCCTAGGTGGTTAGTCAAGGTGGGCCTCCTTCGTGGGGAACCGTCCCTGACCCTAATGCTCCTATAGGCCAGGATTCATTGCTCAGCAAAGCCATCCCTGCATTCTTGCCCAGCCAATTAATGTCACTAGCTGTGCTTGGGGCTCTGGTGTGGGTCCACCCCAGTGGCGAAGATACCTAAGACCCCATCCTTAGGAAGGGGATAGCACAGCTGGAATCTCACCTTGAGTCAGTGAGGTGTCTGATGCCCTCCGTCCTTCCTGAAAGCTGACAGGCAGCAGGACAGCTCTACCCAGACCCCCCTGAGCCTGTAGTACAGGGGTGGCCGACTGCGCCCCCAGGAAAGGTGAGGCCAGTTTGACTGGAGAACAGGTGCCCAGCAGACCCTGGGTGGCCAGACTGCTGCTGAGCCCAGCAGGGCCTTCACCTGCAGAGAAGGTCAGACAGCTGTCGGAGCTTGTTCCTTCTGAGGCACCTGCTGTGCTGGAGGACACAATGATACCTGTGGAGGGAGCAGCTTGTGAGGGTGGCCCCATCTCCAAGGCCACAAGGAGTACAGAGGTCAGGCCACGGGGTGTCTAGTGTGCTGGCGGACATGAGCAACTGTGGGCTTGACCCTCAGTCTGTGGTGGGCCTCTAGTGATGGCGCCACACTACCAGAGCCCAGAGATGCTACCAGACAGCCTCTGGATGCAAGTGCAGGAGATCTGTGGGTGCAGATCTGTGGGCGCACCTCTCACCAAGTGAGAGGTGGCCTGGGGCCAGGCCCAACCCAGGTGGTGTCCCCTCCACCAAAGTGAACATGTGCATGTCCTAGTATGACCATGTGGTCTCAAGGAGATAGAAAGGTTCACCTCAGATCATGCACTGGGCCCTCAGGAACACTTACAGGGAGGGCTGAGCGGAGAGTAGTGTGTGGAAACCTCAGCCAATGTGTGCCTGCGGCCCGTGCTGCCACGCAAGGGCTCCAGGACCTCTGGCTCCTCCTCTAGCCTGGGCACCTGTGCAGCTTCCTCGCTGATGGCTGTGTCCAGCAGGCTGCTGGGGGAGATGGAACGGTGCGGGGACACGCCACTGCAGCTGGCGTCTGCCAGGTAGAACAGGGGCTGCAGGGGAGGGACACAAACCTGTGACTTTCCAGGCCCTACAAATGTGGGTACACTGGGGAGGAAGGGGCACTGGGGACAGTCATGTACCTGCATCGAACTGTGAAGATCACAGTCCATCTCGGCCTGCAGGACAGATTGTGCCAAGGCTTGGGGCTGTGGGTACAGTAGGGAGGACCGGAAAGGGTCACTGAAGAAGCCTTCCTGAGGTACCTGGAACCAAGGGAGAGACATCATCAGGAAGGCCATGCCTGTGATGGTTGCTGGGAGCACTAGAAGGATTCAGCTGGCTTCAAGATGCTATGACAGATGTGAGGCTGTGGGCTCAGGACCTGTACCCTCTCCACAGCCACATGCTGCGGGTATGCATAGATACCAGGAGGCCCTGAGACGCCAGTGCTAGGAACAGGCATGGAATAGGCAGCACTGATGAATGGGGCAGTCAGCACCCTCTTCTCCCACTGCCCTGCAGTCTGATGCCTAGCTAGGGGTGCACCAAAGACAAGGCACAGCCAAGTCCTACTCCTGCGCCCAAGCAAGGGTGACCCAGCGAAGAGGACTGACCAAGCAGGGTGCGGCTGCAGGAGTCTACACTTACCTCCAGACCACTGAGGTCTGAGCTCCTGGGCCGAGGCTGCCGGGTGGGCACCGAGCGGGCCAGTGACTGGGCACCCCAGTGCTCCTTGAGGCGCTCGAGCAGGAGGTAGTAAATGGCAGCAAAGTGGTTATAGCTGCTATTCTGCAGTGACTGGGGAGAAAGAAGTGGAGGTCACAGGTACCCATAGCTACTTCTATAGCCACTGGGACTCCCTGCTGAAGGCCATTTCTGGGGCATTCCTGGGTTATTAAGCTGGTCCTTAAATTAGGCTGCATAGCCCCTGAACACCACCGCTCATGGGGCCACACTCACCTCCACAGTTCTCTTCCGGTCGATGCCGAGGGCCTGCATGATGCCCAGCGCCTGCTCATTGTAGTCGCCTAGGTTGGAGGTGTAGCTGAGCACAGAGAGGGCGGGGTCAGCCTGCTGCAGGAGGGCAGGGTCAGCTTGCATCCAGCGATGCTGCCAGATCTGGGCAATGGTGATGCGCTTGGCAGGATCCACCACCAGCATGCGTCGGATGAGCATCTCACAGTCTGGGGAGGACACAGCATTCACTGAGCCCCAGCATGGCTGACTCCTACATACAGATCACCCATATGCACTCATGTGTGATGCCCTGCAGAAGGCCCCGGCTGCAACCATCGCCTATGCCACTGTGCATAGCTAGCTAGGTCCTAGGAAGGACACCTGCCTGCTGGTCCTTTCAAAGGTGTCAGACACGCATGAGTACAGGCTATGGGTCAGGCATCATTATGATAGAGAAGTGGCTCTCAGGAGGCACCAGCAGAGGGAGGGCATCTGCCATCTCCTAAGTAGGGCACCTGAGAAGGCACCTGGGATCAGGTTTCTCTTGGAGCCCCATTACTAGGGCCGATGTCCTGGCTCTGGAATAGAGTCATAGGCAGCCAAACAGGCACTGCAGAGCTCTGTCCCTTGCCCTCTCCCATCCTCCAGTGGGCTCACCCAGCAGTTCTTATGGCAGGCTCAAAGCTACCCACCTTGAGACATAAAGAAGGGGATTCGGAACCGGCCCTCCAGCACCCGCTGTCTCAGTGTCGGCAGATTAGGACCATCGAAAGGGAGAGAACCGCAGACAAGTACATAGAGTACAACACCGAGGCTCTGTTAACAACCAAACAGCAGATCAGCACCCAGCAGACTCAGGGCTGTGGGCAAGGAAGGCACAGGCAGCACCCAAGCTCCTACCCAGATGTCTAGCTGGGGGCCTTCATACTCCTTCCCCTCAAAGACTTCAGGGGCTGCATATGGGGGGCTCCCACACCACGTAGACAGAGGCTCTCCAGGGTTGTAGAAATTCCCAAATCCAAAATCTGTGGTGCAAAGAAACAGATGGGCAGAGTTAGCCTAGAAATGGCAGGAGCTATAGCTTTGGGTTCACAGAACGCTCAAGGGCCCGCTGCAAGACCTTAACCCCCAAGATCCCATCACCACCCTCCTTGCCTGCCAGCTTGACGTCCATGTTGCTGTCCAGCAGCAGGTTCTCCGTCTTGAGGTCCCGGTGCACAATGTGGTGGTTGTGGCAGTATTCCACAGCTGACAGTATCTGCCAGAACTTCTTCCTCGCTTCGTTCTCACTTAAGTGCCCGTTGGCAGTCAGGTAATCTGAGAAACAACAAAACCCAAGCTCTACTTCTGGATGCAAAGTCTGGCACTGCTTGGGGTACAGAACTGCAAGATGTGTGCACCCGGTAAGGATCAGCAGGTCCCAACAGGTTAGCGCTGTTGCTTCCAATAGCCATTAAAAGTGAGTGTGGCTTACCGAACATTTCTCCATTCTTTGCAAATTCAGTGACAATGTAAAGCATATCCTTTGTTTCCATAACCTAAAAAACAAAACAAAACTAACATTTAACCACAGGAGAAAGGAACATACATACCAAGGGTGTAAATAATCCACTTGAACCCCAGTAAACCTTTAACTTCTCCAGGAAGCATGTGTTCACCAGTGAAAAAAAAGAAAAGGAAGAGAGCTCCTATGATACATAAACAAATATGGGGATTCCTACCACAAGAGAACTTTTTAAAAATAGGAGGTGCACTGCTCTTGGATCTGCCTATCTGAACACACCTCTGCTCTAAATGAAGTTGATGTGCTTCTGAGTCTTTCTGCATTGTGTATTTAACTAGGGCCTCTGGGGACTCTACAAACTGGGGACACTTGAATCCCTTACACCTTGCATAAGAAGCCTAACACAGGCGGTAGGGGATTTAAGCCATTGCCCACAACAGACCGAATGCTAATGAACACCCCATTCCTGCTTGTTGGAACGTGCCAGGCTGTAAGAAAACAGTTTCACCAGGTAAGCTACCATGCACTACTCTATATAGCAAATCACTCAGCAAGGATCAATAATAGTCAAAGTCAATGTTCTCCTGGAAAGTTTAATCATCGATCAAGAATGTTATGTTCTCTTAAAAAAAAAATTTAAAATGTAACTAAGAAATAGTAAAATACCAATCTTTGATACTGAATTAAAACAAACTCATATCTGTGTATATAGTAAAATATTTGAGATGATATATTTACGGAATTTATATGAAGGAATAAGATTATAGAAATCTTATTAAAAAAAGATTTTGAGCCCAGCCTGGTGGCACATGCCTATAATCCCAGCACTCAGGAGACAGAAGCAGGAGGATCGTTATGAGTTCAAGGCCAGTCTGAACTGCATAATGAGACCCAGCTTCAGAAACAAACAAACAAAAAATTCTGGATGTCCAACACGTGTTTATTCCTTTAAAAAGACATTTTGTTTTATTGGTACTGGGGATTAAACCATGTACTTTGCTAACTACATACTCTACCCCAAGCCACATCACCAGCTAAAAAGACATTTTAAAAACAACTGCTTATAGTCATAACTCTAATAAGATGTTATTAAAATTCTCACAATGTAGCCAGATTTTTTAACTACCTTGGAAGACTGCTTATTCCGCTTTTCAGCTGAGAGAAATAAAACTAGATAAAGGAAGAACCTGTGTGTTTTAACTTTTGAAAACTTAAAGGGAAGGATAAAGTGTCTCTGCAAGGTACACCAACAGTGTCAAAAGCAGAGGTCTCACAGCGTCACCATCCCACCCAATCCACCCGACAGCCAAGAGTCACCAATGACAGCTGCAAGAACATCCACCTCCTGAAGGGACCGCTGGCACCCCTCACAGGAGCAATGCACCTCCGTAACAAGAGCCCATTCTGCCATGCGCAAAGTGAAAGAGCAGGGAGAAAAGAAAAGCGCTAACGTGCGGCCCTTCTCAGTCAGACACAAAGCAGTGGGCCTGCTCCCCAGCCAGGATGGGGGAGGACACCTCCCAGGCACCAGGCACAGACACAGTGGCTGCGAAGGAAGCCTCTTATCTCCTTTTATCTCCAAGCACAACTTGAAAGAGACCCAGACATAAACCCTGAGCACAGAGGCCTGAGCTGTGTGTAGATATGCGGGTTAGACTGTCATGGCAGGGGAAGCAGATGCTCCAGCAACATGTCTGCATCATCTGAACTGAGTAGAAGAGCCTGCCAGCGGGTAATTTTAAATTACAATTCCCTCTCTCACTGCACTGTACGCGTTGCCTTCCCAACGGCACACATGCGTCTTCCATAATCAGCTCAGATTCACGTGGCTTCATGAAAGTCACTGAGGGGAATGGACAACCAACACAGGCACATGGAAGGGGAAGCATTTACAAAGAATTCATTCCTCCACGATAGGATCAGAGTCTATCACTGACCCATGGGAAGTATAAGAAAGACTGCCCTGCTGGGTTAATGACTTATTTCACAAAGATACAGTTAATATGTTAACTGCAACATAAGAACCCAAAGTCATGAAACCAACCAACAGATGTACACAGTGAGGCATGTTCCTAACCCTGGTCAAAGCATTTCCATCTCTTCTCTGCACAGAGGAGTTAAAAAGGGAAGACAAGTGCTCACTGCTGCCTCAGCAAAGATAAGTTCATGAAAACTGGTAGCAGTTTTGAAATTTAACAGCTGGTTTTGAAATTTAACAACTGTCTGCAAAGGTGAGAATTTCTAGTTTTGCTCGAGTTTGCCATTCCGCATTAAGTGCCTGACCTGAGGCGCCGCTACCCATGTGGGTGTGATCAGAGGAAAGCCACCCCAACAACAGACGGCTATGAATTTGAAACTGGAACAAATTATGATACCAGACACAACTTGAATGAAGCCAATCTCAATTATGATCCAAAAGCAAGACAATAATTGTAAACACATCTGCACAGCTTAAAAGATCAATCTACCTCCTACAACCCTCATGCTGCTCCACAGACACGCAGAAGGGGTACCCTTCTGGAGGGCAGACCTAGGGGTGGAGTAGGGCATTGCGCCAGAGGATCGCAGGCACACCACGTACACATGCACACAGTAGGGCCCTCCTCACCTGGTATAGTCTGATGATATTGGGGTGGTTCAGCAGCTTCATCAGCTGGACCTCACGGTAGATTTTATCCAAGTTGCTTGTATCTAACCGTGTTTTATCAATTATTTTTATTGCAACCTACAGATGTTTAAAAGGAATGTTTTGTTAAAAAAATTTATTTATACATTTCAATTTTTTTCCAAGTTAAAATTCTCATTTAATGTCTCCAAAACTTCACAAAAAGTTGAGGAAAAAAATTAAGCAACCACAACTATTATTTAAAGGAATCAAAGCTAAAAAAAATATCCTAAATACTTGTAGGTTCACTCTACAAGGCTTTATTTAGCTCTGAATCCAAAAACCAGAGCACTCCTCTTTGGCTTTGGGGATTTTTTGTTCATTATTCTCTTTGCTGTTCCCTAATACCCGTACAAATTATGCATAAACATAACACAAAGCATTTTTTTTTTCTTTACTAAGCCCAAACCAGTCTGAGTTTACAGGATGACAGTAAGCGCTAATCTGCCTGAGTCCAGCCCCCGGGTCAGGCTCCTGCCCCCGCGTCCTCCCTCCGGGTCCCTGTCGCCCCAGGCACCTGCGTTTTGGTGACCCGATGCCGGGCCAGCTTCACCACTGCGAAATTGCCTTTGCCCAGGGTGCGCTCCACATCGTAGAAACCCACGCGGAGGGTTTTCTGCTGGCCCTGGCCGGGGCCCGACGGGGCCGCGCTCAACTCCGACATGATCACCATGGCTCCGGATCGCACCTGGGGTGGGAGGCGAGGGGTGCTCAGTGGGGCCCCCTCATCCGGGGACCCTCCCGCCGGCACCGACCCGCGTCCGCAGCCCCCGGAGCCTGGTTCCGCTCCATCCAGACCCCCTCACTGATCCCCACGTGCTGGGACCGGCTCCCCCACCTGTCGGTTCTACTTTGATCCCCGGGACCCCTGCGCCGTAAGGAGCGCGCAGACCACCAGACCCAGGGGTCGTCTCGTCCGGGCCGGCGTGGAACGGCTACCCCGCCCCGCAACAATGGGGGCCCCCGCGCCAACCCCGGCCGCCGCTCACCCGCGCCGTGCCCCGTGGTCCCCGCCGCCCGCTCTGCTGCCGGAGCGCTCGCTGCTCGCGCCAACGTCGCTGCGTCCGCCTCCCGAGCCCGGC